AATGCAACTATTTTCATTAGCTCGGTTTGCAGGCGTCTAATTGGATTTTGGTTAATTTCCAAAAACAGCGATTGGTCAGTTTTAAAAGTTCAAATATCAACGGAAATAAAACCGCTAAGCGGACAGACAATAACCGAAAAAGCCGCGAATATTTCATTTTCACAAATTAATATCTATTAATTATGCATCCCAAAGCAGGGCAGACGGAGGATCAAGGAGGTGCCAGGAGAGGTGACAGAGAGTCGTAAATCGATGTCAGTGCAAAAAATGGCCAAGTACCGGCTAAATAAATAATGAACGCCTCTTAAATTTTCATTTGGCCCTGGACAACAGAGCACCTAAAAGCTGTTTCAAAAGCCAAAATAAACAATAATAACGTCACTGAATGCGAGAGGAAGTTCCGCCAAAGCCGAATATTTGAGTGCCCTTAAATGGAGGCCATTTCTTTTTTTGTGTTATAAATGTGGGATGAACATATGGTGGTTTTTTGTTGATAGTTTAAAGTTTTCATCAGTTTATTGAGCATTTTATGAAAATATAATATTTATAATTTTATAAATTCCAAAGCTACTAGCATTTCATTTGGTTGTTACAAAGCGGCTTTAAACTTTCTGAGATATAGAAAACTTTTTCAATTTAGAGTCTACTTGTGGAAAAAGTTTTAAAAGACATTTTGGGAGCTTATATTTTACTTTAGTTGGTAGTTATTTAGTGGTTTAAAATATTATTATAGAATTAGGATGCTTAACAAATTTGAAAATCATTTGTAGCCTCAAAAGTCATATCAATAATAAAAACAAATAACAAAGTCACTTAAACAATAAATAACATTAAAAATATTTACAAAATGTAAACAATTAAAAGCTCTAATAAATGACCATAAATTCCATTGTTCAAATAATTACTTAATGAATGGCCTCCGCTTTTGCCTTCAAACCGATACTGAAAACAGGTAATACCCAAATGTCATCAGGTGCATTTACGAAAACAAAGTGAAACTTTTCGCCTCGGGGAATTGGAGAAGGATAGCTAAAGGGGCAAGCCGGGAAAGAGTAAGCCAGGGAATCGGGGAATAATAGAGAAAGGGAGTAAGGCGGAAGGGAGGAGACCAGGGAATCGCTGACAGGAAGCAAGCCAGAATGGCAACAACGAATTACTCGACCCATAACCACAGTGCAATCAATTGTAGTGGTCCAGAAAACACATTCGAGCGAGACGGCAGGGCCAGATGCGAAAGAGAGAGGCAGCTATGGTGTGAGAAAGAGAGGCGAGAGACCACAGTACCTCCAAAAAGCACTTTATATGCCGAGGTAATGGCGCCTAATAAACGTCTTCACTCGAGTGCGCTTGGCGCCGCCCACCCAGCCCACTCAACCGCCTGACCACCCCAAGGCCATTCCCTTAAACAGAGAGAGAGAAAGTGTGGGGAAAAAGGCAGACAGCAACAGAGACAGAGAGAGGTGTGCGGGAAAGGTCGAGCAAGTAATTATGATTTATGTCGCTTCGGAGAATGTGCAAGGCGTCTAATTGTGTGGGCGGTCACTGGCCGCAATTACGCCCATCTCCATCTACATCACTACCTCCCCGCCGCCGTTCCCCAAACATCCCAGCTATTATGTCAAGCCGGCCGAAAATAGTGGAAATCCTACACGAATGTCGGATAAAGTAATTACAAGATGCTCCGCCCTACCGCCCTTCCTCCCTCGTCTTTGCCAGGGAATCCTAGGTAACCCAACACCAAGACAGGACCGTGCCGTCCGGAGAGACGTGCAAATGTGTCCTGATGTAATGCATGCTAATGCGACACTCCCTTCCTGCTCCCTCCTCTGTTGACTCGGTTGCCCAGCCTGGTTAGGAATCATTAAAATAATTCAACTTGACCTGGACCTGGACAAGGATCAGGACCTGGCCCAGCAACAGGATTCCTGGAATACTTTTGTGGCCGTCCGTCTCCGCATAATGCTTAGGGAAACTGAATGCCGAAAACCATCAGTGGTGCTAAATCCCACTCAGAATTAATAATTAAAAAGCTCTAATAAAAATGATAAATAGTTGATTATTTTCAATTAAAAAATGTAATTTATCTTAATTCTTATTTTAATATAATTTATATAATCGAGAAATACTAATACTTTACTACTTTTATAATTATAATTTTAAAATATTTATCCTTTAAAAAATATTCACCCCAAAACCAGTTAAACCCGGCCAAGAAAAAAAGCTGGATGAGCAAAACTGGCTTCTACTTCTCCTCCTCCTCTGACACAGGACTTTCCCGCCTGACACAACTGTGGACAATTGAAAAATCAGTAAACCATGCCGCATCAACGCCACGTCCCCGGGGAAATGGCCACAAGAGGAGGGGGCCCGGACAAGAAGGCAGTGTGGAAAAGCGGTGAAAGCAGTCATCATTCCATGAGTGAGCATCATTCGCACTTAATTAGTAGAATGCCCGATTTAAAAGTGGGCGTGTCCAATCAGCTGGAGAGCTTAATTGCAGCTCCAGCCTCCACTAGCGTTTCAAATCGGACTCGACCAGATGCGGGCTCTTAAGTCCGTTTGAAAATGGGGAAAATGAATGCAGAATTGCCAGGAAAAATCTGTCTGAAATCAGAGAAAAGGCCAAAGCTGTTTAGGGTTTCCCTTTGAGTCTCGTGCGGCAAGAGTAAAATTCTTTATGTGATTAGGCCAAAAGGACACGTAACGCAGAGGGGAGAGAGAGAGAGGGAGTGCTTTATATGATTAGGACAAGCAAAAAGGATTTACGCCTTACGGATAAGTAAAGGAAAGTAAAAGAAACGCTAGGCTGAAATAAATCTCGAAACGTATTATCATAAATAATTTAAACAAAATATCTAATTATATATTTCAAAGTCTCAAATGAATATTCTATTTAAGGGAAACAGTGATATATATCTCTGACTAATTTACTTACAAAAAACTATCTTTAACAGCTGAAAAGTATCTGCCAACTTCAGAATCAGAACAAAGTAAGTATCTTTAGCTAACGAAATAAGGCGTGTGACAAGTTCCTACTGCAAAGAGTCTCTTAAGCAAACCAAAAGTAGTTTAAACCAGTGAACAGTAACCCAAAAGTATCTCGAGCTGCAGGAAATCATCTTTTGCCACTTGGCTCCTCCAAACACAACTTAAAGCTAACAAAAAGTATACTGTGCCAGCGAAAGTTTGTCAAAAAAAAAACAGAAAGCGTTTCGGTAAGTACTTTGTTAAGATGTGAAATATGTTTTCGAGTGCACAGGATAAATGGCAGCTAAGAAGGGAATCCTTTTAATTTCTCCATTCATGAATTGCATTCTTCTCTGGGTCCCTAACCCTAGCCCATTTCCACCCATTTAAGCCCGATCCCTTGGCTAACCGGATTATTATGTGCAATGCAAAATGCTAGACGGTTCATCAAGGAGGCCATCAACAAATTAGCCGTCTCGAAAAAGGCTCGAATAAAAATTTGCTTAGCTGTCGTAAATTCTGGGACACAAAGGTTAATCGCGCGGCTAATCAGGCGCAGCCATCAAACCATCAGCCATCAAAGGCGCTCTCCGGTCCGAATCCTTCTGCTCAAGTGAAGGATTGCGTCTCGGCAAAGGCTTTGTTGCCATACCCGAAGGCGGGAAACGGTGAGCGGTGCCAACTGCGTGCCAGGACATCATTATGCTAAAATATTGCTCGGCGGTACTTAATCAACACAAAGGCAGCGAAGGCGGCCCGCCACGCCACGCCTCGCTGTCGATTTAATTGCCCCACAGACACTTCAATGTCAGCATAAATTAAATTTTGATTCCGCCGCTCCGGCAACTGCGGCGGCTCTAATGAAATTCCGCACGCCAAATTGCACAGCCCCCGGAATGGGGCTGATGGGAGGGCATCCACATGGCACACCTCCTCTTGCCAAGTCCAAGAGCCCCTGCCAACACCACCCCATCGAAATGATGATGAGCTCATGATGTGGCCGCCGCAATTGAGTTGGAGGCCTAAGTTAGTCGTTGCTCAGCCATTGTCGCATCAATTAATTTCAGCACGAGCCACGACTAGGATGGTGGCTACCACCCGTCGTCCGGCATCCACCCTCCCTGGGTTCCTCCAACCTCCAACTGTTCTTATCGGACAGCTCATCACCATCATCCTGCGACCCCTACTTACACAGCGGGAAAAGAGTGTATATTTAGGATAATATGGAGTATCCTTTCTTATACCATAATTATCACTGCTTTAAAATATATTTGAGTAAAGTAAACAAATATAAATAATTATTATTTTAAGCAAATTTATTTTGTTAATATATATTTTTTTTCAGTTCACATTTTCCATTCTCAGCCACCACAACAACAGTTTGCAATTGTATGTGCGGTGGCGACGTAAAAGTGGTTGTGAAACTGTAGAAGGAGGCGGTGTAGAGGCGTTTCGGAGGTGGAGGCGTGCCACGTAATGAGCTTAGCTCTGGCCAAAACCTAAGGTGGCCAAGTCAGAGTCCATTATGGCCGAGTGGCTGGGGCTGGCCGGCATCTTGTGGATGTCCAAAGGGCGGTTGGGAGTGGCAAGTGGGGCGAGAGTGATACGGAAGGGATTTTAAAGTCGACTGATTATGGGCGAGTCAAGCTGAGGTGAGGAGACCTTGAAACTAAAACTGATTAGGGACACGTGTCGGAGCCATCTAAGTGGCCATCGTCCTGCTTTGTCAACCAACACGTAACCAGGACAGGACTTTTATTAAAGAGCAAGAGGTGGTAATAGTGATAGTTGGGCAGTCTTTCATCATAAACCTTTTGGTCTATCTTTATAAAGGAAATAGTATAAAAGGTAAGATAATAAATATAATTTTGTACTTCACCGATTATTAAAAAGGTTTTGCAATAAATAATAGAGAGTAGAACAAGAAGCATTTAATTAATGAACCTATATAAATTTTATTTGCAACAATTGTACCATTTAGTTCGCCGTATTGTCAAAAGTGTTGCAGCGACAACACTAAGGCTCCACCTAGTTTCACTGAAACAACTGACAGCGGTGGCAGCTCCTGTCAAAAATTCTGACGAAGCACAAATCACAAATCACAAACTTGTCGAGCAATCGGAACGAGTGAACGAAAAGCTAGGAAAAAAGACGAAACCGTACGAGAGAAGCCCTACCATAATGGCAGCAAATGAGTTGGACAAACCGAAAAAGCAGGATGACAAGCAGTAAGTAGGAGCACTCATCACGAAGTCCCATCAAAATCCTCATCCCTCCGCAAAACCCACAGCAATCAGTTCATCTGCCCCATTGTCTACAAAAATGAGATGCCCGAGTTGGGGCTGGATTGCAAATTCCTGCCCTGCGGCAAAGATATTCTGGAGTACACGGTGGAGCCCGTCTCCTTTCCCGAACAGGAGTCGCAGCATGAGCACCATTTCAAGGGTTTGCATCTGCTGTTCGACATTGATTTGGTGAATCAGTCTATTTACGATAAGCCTAAGCAGCAGCGTAGCAATCCTCGCAAGGAAACGCCGAAAATGGATCCCCGGGACGCGGCTTTGCTGGCGGATATCGAGGCCCTGCATTGTGGCGACGCCAGGCAGAGGACAAGTCGCATTCAGGAGTGCGCCCAGATGTTTGCCAAGGAGCGGGTCATGCCGACGCGTCCCCGCACCGGAGTTTACCGTACTCCGGCTGTTCAGGAGACGCAAGTGGAACTACAGCCCGTTAGCCTGGAGCAGCAGAAGGAGATTATTAATCAGACCTTTGAGGAGATCAAGAAGCCCATCGGCCGGCATCCCATCAAGCAAAGGAGTAACGCCAAGCCCGTGTCCATTTTACCCCTTTTCCCAGACCCCGATCTTCAGCATTACAACTTCCTGCAAATGCAGTTCGATAATCCCCCCACCGAGGCTAACCAGAGTTTGATAAAGGATTGCGGCAACTATTTCGTTAACTTTAATGCCACAGAGGAGCTTCCTTCGACCGGAGAGCAAATCTACGTGTCGGAGCAGCGCTACAAGGAGGATAGATCAACTGAGAACGCTGAGAAGGGCGATCGTATTATTCTCTTGCAAAAACACGATGCCGTCTACTATGTCAGCGTGCAGAAATACATGAAGTTGCGACGGGAGCGACCACGCCCCCAGGCCATGGTCAACAAGTGTCTGCTGGTAAGGCGTCCGAAACCCATAAATTTGTTCCCATCAAATTCACGACAAAAATTACTGAACTTTCACAGCAGGTCAAGCGAGTGGCAAAGGAAGCAAACTAAACGGGAATTGATTTTTAAGCTCACAAAAAAAATCAAGGCGGAATCCAGGTATCCATATATCGTATAGTATGATTGAAATTCTGTACAGAGCCAGGAATTTCTCAACGATAAACTAAAGCTCTAACACAAACGATATGAAATTCTGCACAATTTTAAGAATTTTTTCAGAGGAAAAGCTTTAACCTATTGTGTAAATAAAAATTAAAATTCAGATGAAAGCTGGAAGCTAAGCAAGGCTTTCCTTTCCTACAAACAATTATACACAGAGCTTATTAGTTATGAATAAATATATATTTCCTAATATCATCATAAAATTCTTATTTCTAACTTATCAATTTTATATTTTGTTGGGTATTCAATACACTTTACTGGCCTCTTTTAAAATCTCCTTAAAAATCATAGAGTCTCAGATTAAAAGCTAAGCTAGTTAGGATTCTATATTATGGAATTTCTTTATTATCTGATTGACGAAGTGAGTGCAGCAAAAGGACGCGACAGTAGGACAGCAGATGCTAGGCAACAGGCTTAACCTGGAGAGGTGACAGGAGGAATGAAAGTTCCAGCACCCCTGCCTTCCTTTGAGAAGCACCCACCACCGTTAGTGATGCAGCATCTTCTTGGCAATCCTGGCATTCTAAAGTACAAATACATATTGGACTATATATTTACTCTGGGTGTCTGTCTGTCTGTGTATAAAAATCTATGTGAGAAATAGACAATTTTTATGACGTTTCCTCCCAAGAACCATTTTTATTTTTTATTTTTGTTGTAGCTGCTGCCACTGTGGTACACTGCGGAATCCTATTTCATTTGGCCAGACGCTCGGAATTTGTTGTGGCAGCGATTTGGCAGGATAACACCGCCCATTCCCCCCGCATTAAGCCCCTGCAGGAGTGTTGGCGATTCGTCCTATTTTAAGGGTTAGATTTCAAGTCAAAAGTAGGAGTCATTATCTACTAAAATTGGCAATACAAATTTGAGTTTAAGTTCAAGCAACTAACACAAAAAATCCTTTAAAATAATGCCTTTATGACTTTGTAATATTTTTTTAATTTTAAATTGATTTTTATTAATTAAAATGGATGAATAATCAAATTCAATATTTTTATATTCAAATTTGAGGTTCAGAAAGTTATAATTTCTTTCTTATGGTTGATATTTTTCTAGCTCTTCTTCTCGCCATTGTCCTGCTTTTTAAAGCCGCTGGCTGTCAGCACTGGCGTACATGGTCTTGTGATGTCGCATGCAGCAGATGTCGCTGGGGAACCGGCTAAAATGCCACAATTTTGTTGGCCAGCAACTTGGATGGCATTCGATGTTGCTGCAGCTGGGACGGGGCAGGTAGAGGGAAAGTGTCACGCTGCTCGATGGCTTAAATAGATTAGCCAATTCATTTCCTGCGGTCTGCGGAACTGTTGCGCAGCGACAGGGAAATTTAACGGCAAAGGAGTTCATTTCAAACCAAAACAAAAGGGGGAAAACTGAATATAAAAAATTGGGAAATTTGTGTGGCTTTCAAATCAGCCAGAAACTAATGTGGCAACTTCAAAGGCAAACAAATTCAAGTGCATTGAGCCCGCAACAAATCAAAGACTCCTCGACGACCTTTTCCTCACTTTCGCCGCTTTCTATTCAGCTTTCTCTCTCTCTGTCTCTCGGTGGGTTGCCATTTCTCTGGGCCCATACATCAAAGCAATCAAATGGACCCAAGTGTATCTATCACGGCGATAAGTAACACAAAAAGAAATTCAAATCTCGCTCAAAAGAGGCGGAACCGAACCCATTGCGAGCTTCGAGTTAGGACAATGGAGAGTGCACTGGAAATAATTTATTTACCTATGAGAGTTAAGTTTAAAAATACTTTTTTTTTACAAAATATAAGTAGTATACTATATTGGAAAGACTTTGATTTTTACAATTTTATTTGAAGAAAAAAATGATAATTTAGTAAATTGTAACCAATGTACCTTTGTAGATACCTTCAAGTACATTCAAGAATTTATAAATAGGTTGTAGATCATCTTACATTTATATTATTCAGATTTATTTATTAGTCTCACTTAAAATTGTAACATAATTATGGCAAAAATAGTAAAATTCTAGCCAAATACTGACTTCTAACCTGTTTTGAAGGTAATAAAATATTTTGTTTTCCACTGCCAGAGTCCTTTTTTTTCCCAGCCCAAACAAGACCTATTTAATTCATTTTTAATGTACTTTTTTCTTGTGTGTTTTAGGGAAGAGGCAACGAAACGATTTCATTTATAAATTGAGCTTCTGTTTTTTTGGCAGCACCTAAGTTACGAGAGGTTGCGACTGGCTGGCAACAAATTATCGCTCTGGCACCTAGCCATCTCCTCTGCTTTATCCTTTATCCGTTTCCCACACCCGCACCCAGGCACATCCTTGACTGAAATGAACTCTTCTCTGGGCTCCGGGATGTGTGTGTGTGTGAGAGTGTGTGCAAGTGAGTGTGTTTGCCGGCCTCAAAGAACTGACCAAGCAATTTGCCTGGCCCAAAGGCTAACCAACACCTCATCACTCACACGGAGCCAAAGAGCGAGATAAGGAGTGGAAGGATGTGGCTGGATATAGCAGGATGCGGCACTATTGGGTAGGGCATGGCACGAGTTTGTCTTGGCCAGAGTGGACTTTCGCCTTAATTAAACAGATTTGTTTGCCGACTCTCAGGCTGATGGCCCCATGTACTATATATGCGGCAGTTTGTATATATTTTTCCAACCCAACCGAAGGACCGACCACGCCCGTCTAAACAAAGAGCGGGGATTCGGGGCCAAGAATTATGGCAGCACAGCAAAAGGTCAAACCCGTTCTCGGTTTTCAATACTTATTGGCCATCAGCAGCTCAGGCTCTGACCCCATAAACATAAAACGCAAATTCCAAGGCGATGGCACTTTCCCACTGGCTAATCCTTAATTTGCAATAAAAAAGATTCATGATCTTTATAACGTATATATCTGTGGGCTGGCTTCTGTGCTCTTGCTCTTAATACTTAAATTTATCTGTCACTAAATTTTCAACAAAAAATACGAGTTTTTTAGAAAAGATATTGGAATAATATCATCAGGATTAAGGTGAGGATGTGTAAGGCACTAATATATTTCAGAAAAATAATATATCGCTAAAACACTCATATTTTTCATCAAAAAATCAGAATAAAAATTGATTTAAAATTTCCAAAAACAAAATTCCACAATAAATTCGTTTAAAATAATTAACCTTCCTCGAAATAAATAGAAAATTCCGAGACAACAAGTGAGCATATCCACCTGAAACGTTTCTTGAAATTCCTTGCAGATGGCCAACAAAAAAAACCGAGGCATAAATCCAAGGCAAGACAGCTGAAGTTGGCCATTTCGGGGGTCAAGTGAAAAGTTAAACAAAAACGCTTAGCACACAGACACACACACACACACACAGGACGGTAGGAATTGCGCCAGGATTTATGTTGCGACATCGCCCTTTGTTGACGCTGGCAACGCTGTCCGCACGAATATTCACATTACACAGCGGGCCGTGTGAAACGGACACAAAGGACGAGGACGAGGAGGACACGAAGGAAGCCCTCAAGAGCCAGCAGCGGCCAAAACGATGTCAAGTCAAAAATGGTAGAAAAAGAAACTAATTTCCTAAGATGGTGTCAACTGCAACTTTTCCCACTCGTACCCCTCGAGCATTTTCCTCCACTACTCGAGTGCTCTCTGGACTGCATTAAACGGCCAAGGATCCTGGGTATCTGGGGACAGCGAGGAAGGCTGATGATGGCCACTGCTGAGAGCTAAATGCACTGGCAGATTACCGCAAACTAGAAAAAAAAAATTAAAGTGCGACAAGCCAGCACTTCACTCTCTCCCCCGCCGACCCGACCCCCTAATGAGCCTCTTAGCCCCAGCTTAAAACTCATAATCAGCACAAAAATTTTACTCCCCGGATATGTGCTGCACTTGGAAAAATCGGGTTCAAAGATGGTAAGTTTTAAACAAATTCTTTTATATTTTTATTTTAAAAAAATATTAAAGTTAGGCAGAGTGTTTATTAACTGTGGAATAATAGTATATTGACAGGTAATATTTTCCTATATATATATATATTATATATAAAATAATATTAATATATTATAAGAGCACATAGTTTTATTTAAGTTAGATTTAAGATTAAGACAGCTATACTAATTAACCAATAAATATTCTAGGATTTCCTGTTGAACTTTCAAAAATTATAAATATTCTTTAAATTATAAATATAAAAGAGCAAAAATTACTTCCCATACATCTTAAATAGCTTTATCTAAACACTACTTAATTATTTAAATTTAATTTATTACATACACGTTTGACTGTCTTATTAAGTCACTAGGCACTAGTTTGGCCCAGCAAATAGTCGCCTTGTTTCAATCAACAGTACAAATGGTATAGTTCAAGCCGTAAGTTTAACAATAGTAAATAGTATAGTAAATAGTATTGTTAATGTTTCCGTATTACCGGAATATTTAAAATACTTACTCACTTGATAACCTCTGTTAAGGGGGGATATACATGTAAGCGGTCAAAATTTGGCCATTTTTCGTAAAATTTTTTTTATAAGAAATAGTCAAGCAATCGTCGTGAAACTTTGGATATAGTTAACAGTAGAATCAGAGATGATAAAAAAAATTAGTTATAAACAATATTTTACAAAATGGCGGATTTATGGAACATATGCCGTAGCGCCTCGAGCTTTAAGTTGCCGTGCTATGGACACGATAGAGCTCGTAATTCCTGTCCAAAATCCGTAAACTAAATTTTTTTGTATTTACTACACCTGTATCTTCTATTTGAACCTAAAAAATCAAAAAGAAATCAAGACAAAAAAATTAAATTTTGATTTTAAGGAAAAAATGTCATTTTCAGGTGATCAGTTTTCACTTCCCACCCTCTTAAGAAATAGTAATACTCAGTTTTATAACAACCATGTAGGTTCAAATAGAAGATAATTTCATGCTGATCATAATAAAATTTGATTCACTCTGATATGTTACGTAGTTTTTTGTGAATCGTGTCCATAGCATAGGTAAAAATTCACAAATTTAAAGCTGAGAAAAAGACGTTTAAAGTTTTTGATGCGCCCACGTTAACACTTGTATACTTTGCTTGCATACTTAATTTGAGGCACTTAAAGTTGGAATTCAATGATGAAACTTACACAGTATATTCTTTAAGTAATAAACTACTTTTTAAACAAAAAAAAAAATTTGCCAAAAAAAATTTGGTTTACATGTATATCCCCCCTTAAGAAATTA